TATATTTAGAATTATCTATAGAATCTATTTAATAATTATTCTTGATAAATAATAGGATAACCTTATTTCGAAACTAAATATATAGATTTTCGAATAAATAATTATTGAATAGTAATATAAATTCCTTTATATATTGATTAATCTGTATATAATCAATTTTAATAGAAATATTATATATAAAAAATAAATTGAAATAAAATTCAAAGAATAAAATATATTAATTAAAATCTGTTTAGAGAAGGTTTTGAAATCATTCTCTAAAGTATATATATTAAAATAAAAATAAGTGATTTTAATTAAAATAATATTGATAATAAATTTAGTACTAGTAATCTATAGAATACTCTTTTTGTCTTTATATTCTAATTCTACATTTTTTGTTAAAGCAATATTCTTAAGCTATTTAATATTTATTCTAATATATAATACTTACACTTTTATTATCTTTTCTCTCTTTCATTTATTTATATAATTAATTATCTTTTATCTTAGCTATATACTACTTTAAGATATATTTGTTGTATATTACAATAATAAAATAAACTTTTATAAACCCTTATTTTTGATAATACTTTTAATAAGGAAATCTAGAAATGATTCAGAAACCAAAAAGCTAAAGGAAATTGATATAACTTCAAAAATCTTATTGGGATTTGTTGTATTATAATATATATAGAAATTAATAAAGGAATCATATTTTTTCTTTATATTAGAACAATAAAGTATTTATTGAAAACATTAATCTAAAAATTGATCTATTTCAAAAATATAAAAAATGAATAAGAAAATTAATTATACAAGAAAAACTAATAAAAGAAAATAGAGAATATTAAAGAAAATCATACTTCTAGCTTTTATTTAGTCTAACCCCGATTTATAGTTCTATCATTCCCAATCTTAATATTAGGTTTATTTCTAATTAGATAATCCACACTCCCATTTATAGTAATTTCATTAATATAATACCTTTGAACTTATACAAAGCTTAAATTATCATATATTATATTATTTATAATTTCCCCTCTCTCTATTATTCCATTATATCCATTTATAAATATTAAAAATAAATATAAAAATAATTCTTGATTTGAATTAATATATTTTTATAGATATTTACAAAAGAAGTAATATATTAATATATATATAAACTTATTTTATTCTATTTTATTATTTAATTTTATAGTATTCAAATTATATCCAAAATTCTAAACAAAATCTTAATAAAACTTGATTATAATTAATAATAGATATTTATTAATATTTATAAAATTAATTAAATATATAAATAATAATATAAGAATAAACATATCCTATTCCTTATAATCTATTAAAAGCTCTTTATAAAACTTAAATAAAATAATTCTCTTTTTATTTATATATTTCTTTTGAGGGAATTGATATATTATAAAAGGCTTTCTAGTACAATAATAAGAATATATTTTATTTTTTCAAATATTATATACATTTTAAAGATTTATATATCCCATTACCTTTTTTTTATTTATTTTATATAAATAATAAGAATTGCAATTTAATCCTTATATTTATCTTTATAATATTGATTATTCTTTACTAATTCTTTAAAATAATTTTAGATTATATTAGTAATTGATTATATAAAGAATAAGAAAAATAGGAAAGAAAAAAAAAATCAATTTTATTAGAATTTAACCAAAAATTTTTTTCATTTATTTGAATAAAAATTAATAAGAAATAGAGAAATATATTCTCCATTAGTATAATAATAATATTTGAAGCTTTTACTATTAATTCTTAATTTGTTGATTTTTAGTACTCTTTTTAAATCAAAAATAGTCTTTAATCTTTTTTATACTCTTATTAACTTTTCAAAATAATATAAAGTGAGCTTTAATTATAAAAAAAGTTCTATCCTTTTATCTATTTAAAAGAATCTAGATATTATATCAATCTTAAAGTAAAATAATAAATATTGATATATAACTAATACTGATTGTTTATTTGCTATTTCAATATATATTTATAGAATAAAATATAAATAAATATTAATATATATATAAATTTCAATTCCAATTAGAAATAATTTATTATATTTATTTATAAACCAAATAAAATTTGGTTTAAGAGTTTTATATTTCTTATATACTAATTAAAGATATTTCATTTGTTTTTTAATATTCTAAAAATCTAATATTCGAAATATATAAAAAAGAATATTTCTAAAACAGATATAAAATATTAATAAAAATATACTTTATAATTTTGAGTAAATAAGTAATACTATATTATAATACAAGCTTTCCCTTTCTACAAAAATAAGTATACAATAATCTTCTACCATAACTCTAAATATAATCTAATTCCAAATCTTTTTTAAGAATTTTGAAAAGTTGTTTATTTTGTTTATATTGTTTTTCGATTATAAGTTTTTTATAAAAACTAAGGAATAAATATATCTTCTTGATTTACCTTTCAAATATATTCTATCCTTTAGCTTTAAATACTATTATCATTTTTTTATTATTTAATAATAAAATGAAATATATTATAATTTGATTTTGTATAATAGGATTATTATATTCGATTCTAGGTTTTCAAATAAATCCCTATTATTTAAGATATTTATCAATAATTCTGATTTTAATATTGATATTAAATTTAGTAATAAGCAATTATTTAATATCCTTAGTATTATAACTATCAATATACTATTATTCAATTGAATCTTTATATAAAAATAATAAACTTCGAGGTTTACTTATATTGATTATATAAATAAAAATAAAATATAAAAAATAAAAAGAATCAAAGAAATAATAATATTGATTAAAGAAAAGAAAACTAGTTTATGAATATTTTGAAAAAAATAAATATTATATCAAAAAATAAAAATCACAAAATGATATGATAATAAATGATCTATTTGATTAGAAATATGTATTCTATTACTATATATGCTTTTAGCTCAGGCAGAATTCTATTTTTGGTGTATTGGCAAAATGGTCCATATCGGCCTCGGTACTAGTGCAAGTTTATGTGGCGCAAAAAGTGAAGCTCACGTAACGACGACCACCCAACTATTTTGATATCTTCGATATCGCCACAAGAAGTCTCGTGGCACATTTCAATTATCTCTAGAATTCATGCGGCGTTAGTGAATCTTGGGGCCGGTCAACATCTTCATGATGTAATTCAAGGTATTAAAAAGCAGAATCCCATTGAAACTCTGCCCCGGGACAACGCGTGAGTGGAAACAAACTGGGCTCTGTCGACATGCCTCTTCATCTGTTACATAACTGCTTAGGACATATGTACATCTGTCGCGGAGGTTCCTGCGGATATTGTTGATATGGCTTTAGCACCCACATACAAAATACATGGCGATGTAACAATTGAATGAATCGATCCATGAACTCGTTATCAACACAACTAAGAATGATCTCAGAGGCGGATAATGGGCTATCTTGTACACGAACAACTGCGATCATTCAATCCAATGCATCCAATCGCGCGGAGACGGACAGCTAGAACTCATTGGACCGATATCCTCATCGACATGCCACCGCCATTCTTCACGAGTACATGGGCGAAATCAAACCATTGAATAGATACCGTGTGGTCATCAAATTAGGACATACGAAAGCTATCACATGCTCATCTTCATGTGGAAAATGATTAGCAGGAGAAATTCGACTCGGAATCTTCTGAGGAGCTCGCATACAATGGAAAGCGAATGGTGAAAAGAGGTGGTACGATGAGGGCGTTGTGGACGTTTCGGGGTGAACAATCTGTATGAAGCGCCATAGGGGGTATTTGCAAAAGCTACAAACATAGATTGGGACATCAAGTGAAGCGAGACGCTATTTATCAAACCCATAGGAATCATGTGAAGATGGACAAAGAAGGAGAAGTTTGGGAACAAGAGGATTCGACCAAGCACCGGAAATGATTGGAAGACGGGTTCAAGGCAGGAGTTGTGATATTAAATGGGCACGAGCGAAACTACTAGTTTGGAAGAGGGAGATTGATGATGCTGATCCCATAGTGAAAAATGCAAGAGGGGAAAGGATTGAAGTATGGCCTTTGAACTCGGGCTACCATCAATATAATCAAGCAAAACAGAAGGAATAAAGAGAAGGTGAAGCTCATATGAAGCATTTGGTTTCTAAAGTATATCTTGCATGCAACAAATGTATCATCTAAACATCACACAATTTGTCCCATGGTTTCCCCCGATTTCTTATTTTTTCGTTGTCCTCGAGGGGTGTCGATGGATAGTAGGGTACTCAGGAGTATGATCGAACAGAGGATTTAAGGGGCTTTAAAGCTTTTCACTATTCATCCAGGATACACATAGCCTGCATGCAAAAGCTCGACGTTCGGGTGCTGGACACCACTACATACATGTGGCATAAAAGATGGTCTCGAGAATATCTTCAAATATTCAATCATCATGATAACCGGGATGTTTCTACTCAGAATGGCATGGGAAGAAGCTCAATAGTACTGCTTTGAATGATGAATTGTCCCCCTATCAAGAATGAATGGCAAGATCAGAAGCAGGATTGACAAAAAAAGCAAAAACATACAACAGTAGGGATTCGCTGGTGGTCACCCACCCAACTACTAATCTACCGATCTGAGGCTTGAGTATGGCAGAGCGGACGGGATGCCCTAGTTTCCTCAGTCTATGGTCGTATGTGGCAGGACAGGTTCTGTTTTAAAATTATATATGGTTTACAAAACTCGACATCATCTTACAAGCTGAATCCCGTCAGGATAAATGAACTCGATTTCAAACCATCGTCTTTTTAGAGACAGGGTTTACCAAACTCCCAAAAGCTCTCAGGATTTTTGAAATGCCCTACTACAAATAACGTGCCAAATGGAGCAGGGTTGAAATGTTGCTTAAAAGTCTTCATTGGTCATTGACGAAAGGTTTACCTAGATCACACAGTCGAAATTTCTCTGGTCTTCAACATCCGCTTTTGGTTCGGTGTACAAATTTCAATTAGACGTCGCTACTTCTTCTGTGGGAGTGGCTGTGGCTCCACAATCTTCCCATCCACAGGTCTTCTCGCGATGATATATTGCTGCATTTCCGGCTCACATTTCTCATTGTCCGGTTGAAACTGGTCGATCGTCTCGCTCACAATCTCCAATCCCATACTTGTCAAAAAGTTCCTTTGTCCCTGCTCGCTCATCATGAAAGTCGGAAGCGGTTCTCCCATAAATGGCGCATCATAGTCCTCCACATATGTCCTTGTTTCATCATATGCTGCGTTACCTTCGTCCTTAACGTACGAATCACTCGGCATCTGACCTAGAACAAATATCCCCCGGGCTTCAGTGCACCAACGTATTTGTACACCGCCGCATGAACGGCTGCGTACGAAAGCTGCAGATGAGCAAATATCATAAAGACGCCCGAAAACGTGTCTTCAACCTGAAATTGTACCATATCCGACACGGAAAAGGTACCCTTGACTCTTTTTTGAGCAAATTCGACCATCTTAGGCGCAATATCGAAACCAACCACTTCCAATCCAGCTTCGGCCAATAGCTCCGAAACTGGTACCCCAGTACCGCATCCCACGTCGAGAACCTTCGATCCGGGGTCTAACAAAGTTATTGCTTTCTTAATGGCGGCAATCTTGAAGGTGTTGTCGCGATAAGCTTTTTCGTACTCGATATTGAGCGCATCGAAGGTGTCATGGCCGGCCTGAGACCCTGCCGCTACAGTTGCCATGCTTTAAGATTTCGTTAAGGTATCGCTACAATCACTGTTTCGAAACATGTAGTATAGTATTCAGTGGCGTGCTCGTTCTCAGAACCTCAGGGTTCAAGGGCTGGACCGTTCTAGCAAGGCGTTCGGAAAACCAAGGATTTGATGTAAATTTCGATAGAGATATAATTCAATGTACTGCACAATTCGAAACCAGGTGTTAAAAGTGACAGGATCTGAGTTTGAGCTTAGCTAAAGTGTCTCATCTCAAGTGGTGCAAAACCAGTTCCGCAAGTTCTGGATGAAACCGCAAAACAATCTGTTAGAAGATTGGGTGTCCGGGGAGGAATTAGTATCCCGTTATTTCGTTGCATTTCATCTAGAAGAATCGGCTGCAACTGCTAGCAGCTCAAACGCGAAGAACCCAACCCCATTTCATCTTGTCGGGATATACATGTGATTCGAAATTGAATCAATTTGATTACTCCTTGGTGGCGGGGAAATAGATGAAAAGGAGTTAAAACGTACATAATCACGGGATATCCCATATAAGGTCTTCGAATCCTAAAGTCCTAAAGAACACATCGGAGAAGTCTTCATCGCGCTTAGGGAAAGTTTTCCGTGGATACTCGTTTCTTCAATCAAAGTTAATATATTCTCGGGGCAGGGGATTCAAGGTTAATCTCTTCCAGGATCCGAGTCCCAATTAGCGAGGATGAAGTTTCTGAGGAGCCGCGTCAACAAGGATGAAAGTGGGGGGGGCAGAGAAAATCTAATAGTGGGGAGGAACTTTTTCCTGAATTATTTTGCGTCTGTCCTTGTGGGAATGGGTGATATAAACATGCGAAAATGTCTTTAACCATTCTCTACGCTCGAGACCAATATGTGTCATTAGCTGAAATATCTCGTGTCTTCGTCAGAGCCAATTCTTTTTAAATTGTGCATCGAATGTTATTAGGATTAGATGTCTGAAATTGCCTGGTCGAGAATCAAGATAATTCCACTGGATGTGATCATCAAGACTGAATGACGGAATTCCCCGACCCTTACTTGCCATGATCATGTTTTATGCAGGAACGGGAGATTTTGAAATATTGGGTAATCTTCAGTTTTTAGCAAGGAATAAAAACTTCATACCTTCATCTCTTTATTCATTTATCGAAACCATCAAGGTTGAGAATGCGGACTATTCTACCACAAAGCATTCATGTGGCCACACTGTAGATACTCTTATGAAGTAGATGTGCAGAAGATTAAGGCTTTATGACTATTTGTTCCACCGCCCCTCTACACTATGGCCGAGAATGGTGATTTTTGGTCTGTCAAGTATCAGGTACCTCTTGAACGACTGGTGAAGCTTAGAATCAAGTAGAACGTCACCCGTTTTTGGGTTTCAAATGATATTTTTGACCATCATAACTAGATATCTGGCAAAAGCCATACATCAAAAAGATGTAATACAAACAACCACCCAAGAATGCCTAGAATTCGACGCTTCTATCCCTGACTCCATCGACGACGCCATATCATTGCAATACGGACGGCCTCCCATTACCCTTTTCCATGGCCATGTCTATCATTGATCAATCCATCTGTACCGTCCATGTAGTATCCTTTTTGATGATCATCCGCTGAGAATCACTACTCCCCACACTCAATCCATCCGTTCCTTCTTCCCCGGCTTTATTCCATAGCTTCGAGCTTCCTTCTCCCGGATTCTTGCTTTTCCTCACACCTCGTCCTGGCTCGTTTGCCCAAACTCGAAATTTATAATCGTCTGGATCCACATCTTCTCGAATTCTGCTCTCTTGGTGATGGCTCTCATTTCGCATGGCGGAGCCTAGATTGGAAAGTTGATAGTTCTCTGAATCTTCTAATGTATATCCTGATCTTCCTCCTAGCTCCTGGCCGTAATATGTAGAAAGATTTTTGACGAAAGGTCGAAGACTTGGTATAATGGCGGCAATGACGGAATAGTTCATTTCGCTCTGTGTCCATACAATAAACTCATCCTCAAGAAACATTGGGTTCGTGGTCAATCCATTTACATCAAATCTAGCTAGTCGGTAGGCAATGGCAATGATCATACTGAATAGATGTTAGCATAGGCTCCTGTTTTGAAGAAGTCCCAAAAAACCTACGGAAGACGAAATCCAAATGCCACAACGACAATAGTTTTATTTGATTTGCTTGTTCGAAGACTCCATACTAGGTAAAAAGATAATGCAACAAATGCGATTTCGAAAATAATATCAAAAGCAGATATGACCTGCCATCTTAAAGACTACAATCTCATATTAGATTCATGCTTTGAGCCAAGTTCGATTCCAAGATAATGCTTACCACGTTATCACAACGCTGTCCGATGGTTTTCCACGGATGAGCCAAATTGCACTGTAAAGCTACCGCAAACAGACTCGCAACTGTCCAGGTAGCCATCAAGCCAATCACACTGCGGAAGATTTTTTTGTGTTTCTGATCTGGGGTCAAACTGCCCAACAAGACAACTACTGATGTTTTGGACAATCCGAGGGATATGATAAACAACAGCAAGCTCGTATACCACATCTGACAAGTGAGGAGTTAGCTTTTTGCGGGATCTAATGCACGCTACGTAGATGACTTGAACTTACTTGCTCTATCTGAGCTTGATTCTTGACTGATATAAGCTCGATGGATTTTCCTAAGCCTTTGGCACAGGCTCCCAAAACTACCGATGATTGAATAGCTGCCAGCAGCTACGTTATTTGTCAGCTAAACTCATGACGCTTTCAAGATGTCATCAATTGCGCGAAGTGACCATCGCGAGTGATATTCCAAGCAACTAACCGTTGAAGCCAAAAGACATATTTCATCATAACTGACGCCTTTTCCCATCGAAGTCCTAGCGAAAGACTTGATCCCACTGAATACCAAGAGGCAAGAAAGCCCCAGTGCTGTTGCAATAATGATCCACGCCGAATGATCAGTACTCGTTACAACAGCAAATGGTGGTGATTGACCCGGTGGTACCACCAAGCCAGTCGTCGGCATTGACATAGCACAGGTTCTCGTATCGTTAGTCCAAACAAAATCAGATACCGGACATCCGCCACGTTATAATTATGTCAAAGTGGAGGGGTTTAAACATTCAGACTCGAGCATTGTAGATCAAAGTGCCGGATGCCGATGGTTCATAAAGGATACAGCGAAAGAAGCATTATCCTGGGATTTCTCAAGTAGCTATATTCTGTAGAGCAGACATAAACGGTGGCTTAAGCACGGGAAGGAAGTAAAAATATTGTTACATGGTGCCTCCGTGCCACGCCCTACAACAGGTGATAACGAACCGCCCCTTGTGAGCTCCTCCGGGAGCGGAAAGTTGGCATCCAGAATAGTCCGTCAAAAACCTGCACGAGAAGTCTCGGCTCGCTTGAAAGGCACGGAAGAAGTGAGCTGAAATCAGCGTCGGGAGTGATGTTCAAGCTTTTGGGGAACCATTCCGACATTCCAGTAGATTGGTTGTGAAAGGGGCATCCTCGCAAATCTCGCATGTCGCAAGGATTCTTCGTGACGCAAATCTGAATGATTTGCTAATTTGGAAGTGGATGTTGTGGGTTTTCAATTGAAGAGTGGGGTGATAGAGCCTGATTTTCAGTCTGGACTAGGGTCATTCGGCATTTGCTGGGGTATATGGTGGATGTGGATGTAGAGGTCGATCCTTTGTAGGGTTATATGATTTGGTAACGTACAATCTTGAAATGTATGCAAAATTACTTTGAGCGACCTTAAATGGGCTTTCGGGAAACTGCCTTGGATTTCAAATTGAGAAGCAAAATTGATACAGACATTGCATAATTTTCCAATTGAGGTATGTTATTGAATTCAAAAATTAATAACATTTTTTGGATCTTCTGTTATCAAAACAAATTTGACCTACTTTTGTACCTTTAGATGAGTCTATTCATCCAAAACACATAGGTAGGTATAATTTTGATATAACGTTTTATACCACTTACACGGTATAACCATATAAAAGCATAGAATTATTCCTAAAAACAAGCGAATCCCGTAATCCCGCAATTCCGTAATGCCGTAATCCTAATTCTCTCGCTTGCGATTCGATATTTTGAAATGAAGGCAAAAAAATATTGAGACATTTATTATAACTACGCACGGAGTGTGAATAAGTTATCGTATATTTTTTGCCTCGGTTGGTATGAAAACACCAATTCAAAATATTGTATAAGTACACGTAATAGTTGGTCAATCCTCAAATATCGATCGCGCAGGGATCGATATGGAGAACCATGAGAGTGCTTTGCTAAGCAATAGTCCCTGAAAGGCTCAAATAAACGTTTCTGCTTCGTTCGTTATGGTGGCCACTGATCAGAAGCTTTCCTGGTAAAATTCTTGAATGAATAAGATTTGCGCGTTCATCCTAACAATTGTTCTTTGCAATTAAGCGAGGTGTACTGTGCAGATCAATATGTTATTGTGCCAGGGCTTTCCCCATCTCCAACACCTTGGGTGGTCTGACTCTGAAAACAGGGCATCGACCGAAACTTTTGCTGCAAGCATGCTTAATCTATCGAAGATTAATCGAAAACAGAATCTCCTTCACTACACTGTAGATAGCAAAAGAGTAAGCCTGAGATGCGAGATTTCCTATCCGTATCGCCTAAATCATACGAGTATCAAAAAACGGCAATCGCGTACGTTTCTCCACTCATACGGGCCCGTCAATCTTTCTTCCATGCGGCAGTGGGAACCTCATATCCCTGGATCCCCACCTTCCCAAATAAACACGGACATTCCTCTAAATCGGTGGGATGGCCCGCCCCTTAACGTTGTGGCGTTGCTTATATCACCCAATTGGTGTGAAAACAGAAGGATTCACCAACCCTTGAATTAGCTAATACAAATGCTTTGAATAAATCAATATGAGCTGTTGAACTTGCATGATTTATTGGATAGATGTCGTTAGAGTGTTGTTATTGGGTTAAGGCTGTAAATCGTCCGCTGACTTCATATATTTAAGTTTT